TCTTTACTGGGCTAATGTAACTCATTTCCTTTAATTAGCTTATTCTTTTATACGTTGAATACGTTTATGGTTATTGTGTAAGGGATGTAAATCAGAATTTTTATTTCGCTTCCACACTTAGAATTTTTAATACATACATCTTCATTTAAATTTCTAGGGTCGTTACATACCCTGAGAACGAACTTGGTGTATCTGAATCCCTAATGCAAAAGAGGCGTCCTTAAGATCTTTCATCTTAAATTTCTGTGTCAGAAATCTCTTGGTTTTGTGCAATAAGTCTATATCACTATTGGCAAGCAGTATGTCATCGACATATAAAACTAGAAAAATATACTTATTCTCACTGAACTTGTGATATACATAATCTTCCACTAAATTTATCTCAAAACCAAATGAGATGAAGACTTGATGAAATTTGTGATACCATTGACGGGAGGCCTGCTTAAGTTTATAGATGGATTTCTTTAGTTTGCAAACCATTTGCTTTACACCTCTAGATAAAAAATTTTTTAATTGTACCATATAAATTGTATCAATGTCACAATTGAGAAACACTATTCTAACCTTCATCTGATGTAACTCAGGATCAAAATGTGTCATTAAAATTATTATAGTCTTGAAAGAGTTTTTTGATGAAACCAGAGAGAAAATACCTTTATAATCGATGTCTTCTTTATATGTAAAGCCCTTAGTAACAAAACAAGCCTTGTACCTCTCCACATTACCTTTCAAATCCCTCTTGATTTTAAATATCCATTTGTAACCAATAGGTTTCGCATCCTTAGGCAATGGGACAAGATTCCAAATGTCATTTTTCTTTATAGGTGTGAAGTTTTTGAGGGTGTGAAGTTTGTACTTAAGGAATAGTTTTTTAAATAGACATTATACTAATCTAGATTTGCTTATTGTACAACGCTAGGTATAATAACCTGATCTTGATCATTGTCAAGAACAAATGAGGAAATAGGAATATCAACCCATTCCTCTTCAAAGACAAGGTCTCGAACTCTTTCTCCTCTTGCAAACTCAACATCCTCAAAGAATTAGGCATTTTCCGTCTCAAAACCTATCTTAGCTGTGGAATCATAAAACTTGTAACCCTTGGATCATTCAGAGTAACTAACAAAATAGTAACTAATAGTTATAGAGTCTAGTTTCTTTTCTTGTAGCCTATAAAGCCTGGTCTCAGCTGGACATTCTTAAATATGCATATGTCTCAAACTAGACTTCTTATCTGTCCAAAGCTCATAAAGGGTCTTTGTAGTTGCTTTAGTTAGAACTCTATTGAGTAAATATATTATAGTCTTTAATAATTCTCTCCAAAGTGATTCAAGTAAGGTAGAATAACTAATCATACTCCTCACCATATCCTTAAGTGTTTTATTTCGTCTTTTAGCAACACCATTCATGCGAGGAGAACCTGATATGGTGTATTGTGGGACTACATCACATTCCTCTAGTAATCAAACAAACAGCCCAGAATGTTGTTCACCTGATCCATTAGATCTATCATAGTATTCATCACAACGGTTAGATCTATTAGCCTTAATCTTTTTGTTGAGTTGGTTCTCAACTTTTACTTTAACATTGGTTCGGTGGAAGATCCTATCAACTTTCATCAGGGCATGAAAAGTTCTAACTCTCAAATGTGGATTGACACCATTAATGAATAGATAAAGTCCATAAAGGACAATAACATTTGAGATCTTATTCCACTGTCTAAGGATACGAAACCCATTGGTTGCAAATAGATGTTTAAAACGAAGAGGGATTTGAAAGGTAATGTGGAGAGGTACAAGACCCGTCTTGTCGTTAAGAACTTTACACAGAAAGAGGATATTGATTGTAAAAAGACTTTTTTTTTAGTTTTATCGAAAGACTCTTTCAGGACTATAATGACTTTAGTGACATATTTTAATATTGAGTTATATTAGATGGATATTTAGACAATGTTTCTCAATGGTGACATTAATAAGACAATTTATATGATGCAACTAGAAAACTTTATATTTGTAGATGCAAAGCAAATAGTTTGCAAACTAAAGAAATCCATCAATGGACATAAGTAGGCTTTCCGTAAATGGTATCACAAATTTTATCAAATCGTCATCTCATTTAGTTTTAAGATAAATTTAGTAGAAGATTGTGTATACCACAAGTTCAGTGGAAGTATATTTTTCTGAAATTTATCTATATATATATTTTCTGCTTTTAAAAAAATATTTCTTAATATAAATATGTATTTCTACTTCTAATATTCATATATATATATATATATATATACATATATATATATTTAATCATAAATCTTGAATCCAAAATTCAAAATAAAAAAAAAACTTGAATATTAAAAAATCCAATACGAGAAAAGCTCTTATACTACTTGTTATAATAAAAAATATAATATAAATCAATAGATATGTAAATTTAAATACACAATCTTGTACTGAATCAATGAAAAATGTAAGTGAAAGTGTACCTCGATCCATAGTGGAAGAATTGTTCACGTTCTACGGTAGAATTTTTCGAATCAACACGATGCCTAAAAAAGCTAATTTTTTATGGTGATGGGATTTTAAAAAAATAAAATGATAAACTTATGATTCGGGAACTATAACCGCTTTTTATATCAAGAAACTTTTGTAATTTTTACTTCACTTATCATAAAACGAGAAAATTATAAAAATTGTATATGCACATTACAAGCTCATACTTAAACCCTATGCATTAAGGTCCAATGTTGTTTAACCGTATTTGATCTTTTTTAATCAGACCTATTAAATTGATAGCCAGATATGCATATCGAGACCTACATTAAGCCCACATGTCAAAAAAAACCTAACACTATTTTATAATCTTTGTTCATTTCCTCTTAATGTAATCTAATTTCTAAAACCAAATTTCAGCATTTTCTTCCAACCCAAAATTAAATCCATTTTTAGCCCAAAACCCTTTTATTAAATCTTCTAAGTCGCAAACAATGTCGTTTGGTGGTGCTCTTTAGGGCTTTCTCATGAAGCTTTGTGAAAAGCTTTCTCATGGAGCTTCCTAATGGAAGCTTTCTTTAAAGCTTATCAGCGAAGCTTATATAAATATAAGAAAAAAAATTAAATGAAATAAGATTAAATTTTATTTTTTATCAATTCATAAAAAGATAACACATAATTGTAAAATTTGTATAAAAGAATAGTTTATGCAAGAATAATAATAGTTTGGTTCAATTCAATGAATTTATGATAGCAATTACTTATATAATTATCTTAGTGCATGCGTAATTCATAAATATCCTATGCCTAAGAATGTTTATGAATTACTCTTAATCATTATGATCTTTTCATAATTATATTAGCACTATAAAATATTTTAGTTACATATTGTTTCTATAAAATAAAGAGCTCTCTATAAACAAGAATATTCTTGAATATATTATTATGATAATAATCCCATCATTTTTCGTATGCTTGATTGACTTATAAGAAACACTGATATTAAAAGCTATAAATACGAAATATAATAACTCAATGCCCTCTATTAAATTATTTGAATTTTTTATATCACTTCTTTAAACTTACTTCACAAGAAAACATTCATGAATCACTCAAAATGACAACATCAAGAACTTGACATGTTTATTCTAATAACTTCACTTGAACATGAACAACCAACCATATATGTCCAAGTACGCACTTAAAATCGTTGAGATTTTACACTATATTTCATAACTGGATTTTCCATATTAATGATTATAAGCAACATAAAGCCAAAAAAAAAAAGAGTGAATAACAAACCAAAACAGTAACATTTATGCATATAATGTAAAGGAAGCTATCTAACATGTATTAGTTTAATTTATTTACGATGAAAGAGATCATGGCCATGGATAGCTGGTAAATGCAAATGCTTCTTGATAGAATCTTTCACATCATCCACAGAATCCTTGATAGAATCTTTCATATCATGCATAGAATCCTTAATAGAATCTTTGATATCTTCCACAGAATCATGAACATTATCAATAGAATCCTTAATAGAATCATGGATATCTTCTACAGAATCTTTAATAGAAGGAAGACGATCTGGGATAGACGGGAGATGATCTTTGATATCTTCGATAGAATCCTTGATAGAATCTTGAATATCTTCCACAGAATCTTTAATAGAAGGAAGTCGATCTGGGATAGATGGGAGATGATCTTTAATATCTTCAATAGAATCCTTGATAGAATCGTGAATATCATCTATAGAATCTTTAATAGAATGAAGATTATCCGAGAACGGAAGTTTGGGGAGTTTGATCTCGCCTGTCTTAGATAAAGGAATTGTAATATGACTGATGATAGGGACATGAAAGGTCAGATGTACATGAATTTCATAGTCAACATCCCAGTCTGAACCAACATCCCTTATGATACTAATTACTATATCATACGGCACCTTCAATATGAATTCTAAATTTGTTTTGTCGCTTGCTTCTAATGCTTCAGAATTTACTGCTCCTGCTGAAACTTCTCTGCATTTATACAAAATATAACTATTTGTGACCAAAACAATTTTTATACAATCAATATGAGTTAGATTTATGAAATTTTTTTATTAATGTAACGTTAATGGAATGAGTTCTTTTCTATTAATTTTAGTAATATCTAAGGTAATTGACTAAGTACTAATGATTTTCATATTATAACAATTATATATATATATATAATATATGGAATGAGATATATTTTTTAAATAAATTAGACAACACACACACATATATATATATATATATATGAAGAGAGAATATTGGATCAAACCTGCCACCCATTTTGAAGTTGTAGGAGATATCTGGAATTGGAAGAAGGTGAAGTATACGATTGTTGATAGAGATACGTACTGAAAACTCAATAAAAGTAAGATGCACACTCTTCACTCCAATACCAGCGAGACGAATATTTACTTTCGTTAAAGAATTTATCGCATCAGTCGCACATGTTTTTAAATGTTGTATAACTTGCGAGCAACCCATTCGCCCTGCATTATGGGCAAGATTTATTATACAATCTCCACACATTAGAACACCGATCCAAAACCAGACAAAACTTTATTTGATAATGTTTCTGGGGCTTACAGTTTCACACACACACACACACATATATATACAGTCATTACGTAATATGGAGAAAATGAAGTATAAATTAATAGTGTTGGAAATTATATTTTAACACATAATTATATAAGCTCGTACTTGTTGATAGTTATGAGGAAATTTAATTCAATTAACAATGCTCCGGTTGGCGTTAAAACTTAAAAGAGTGCTGCTCAAGTTTACTCATAATTCTTCTAAAAAAGAAAAGGTTGTGTCATGATCACAAAAATTTTGTATTACATTCAGATTTTTATAATAAAGTATCAATAGTAACCAATTATTATTATTATTTTTTTTTTGTATTTTTCATTAAAATGAGGTTCTCCATTATTTACTTTTCTTTTTTTTTTTAAAAAAAAAATTCATTCTTACTTTAATATTATCACTGGAACAATAGTATGATAATTAAGTTTTTAATAGTTTATTATTTTATTAATATTTAAAAATATCTGATGAAACCACTGTTTGCCAAAATCTAAAGGTGTAAGAAAATCAAATGATTAATAAAATAGTTTGATTATTTTTACTTGAAATTTGTTACTTTCTTGGAACATGTATATGCATGCACCTTGTCACTTCTCCTCAAGTACAAATTTATAATTTTTTTTTAATTATGCGCGTGTTTATCAAATAATAATCCAACTGTTCAAAACCTTCTATCAATTTTGATTACTTTACTCGTGTGAGTATAAGATTGGATTTATTTGATTTTTTAAATAGATTACTAATCTTTTAATTCTTTGATGAATATATTTGTAAAAAAAAAAAAAAAAATTTCTTACTTAAATTTTAGATTTTGTCTTAAAAATTAAATAAATATCATAATAAAGAATTTTACAAGAAAAATTAAATTCTAATATCATTATTTTTAGTAAACTAATATATTTCTTAAAAAATTAACGACAATAGAAATAAAAAAATATTATATTACGTTTATTAGCTTAAAGAACAAATTATGTCATATATTAATTCTTATATAAAAAAATTACATAATGAATAAAGTGTGAGTATAAAAATAGTTGGTCCAAAAGCATCATGCAGAAAAAACAAAATTCCACAGGCCGTTTAATTGACACTAATAAGTAAAATCTCTTTGTACTTCAGACTCTATAAAAACAATAAAAAATGTGCTAAAATATTAATAAGAGTAGACACTACGGCGAATTTAAGAAATTACATCATTCTAAATAGAAACTAGCAAATCTACGAAGATATCATGAAGTTACAAAAGTTATGTTTGTGAACCAACCCACCGGAGCGAAATAAGTGCAAAAAAAAAAGAGCAACATACCATACCAATTCATAAAAATAAAGCAAACTATACGTAACTAATTATACATAATATTAAATAAATTATTTTTATTTTTAATAATTTTATCTAGGAGGATATTCATAGCGATCTTCTTATTCAACTATTTCCGTACACAATTTATAATCAATTAAAAATAAATGATAAATATATATTACACATCAATTTTAAAATTTGAATCGATATTAACATATTTAAAATTTTACATCATAATATATGTAATTATATTTCATATTAACACATTACTTTTATTTTTTACTTTAAAAATAAAATAATATCATGTAACATTAGCGAATATTAGTTTTGCATATATATATAATAGGTTACATGTCCTTCAAATTTTGAAATTCAGGGAGGATAGTTACTCTATGCAATGTGTATATTCTTATTATATTTATTTTAAATTTTCATACAAAATTCTTATATTATAAATGAAGATTATGTTATATATACAAGCTAAGTGGACATAGCCCCTATATATATTATTAAAATTTATTTCGTTTTTTAGATCATTTTTTTTTCAATTGCTTAACACACGTCTGTCACATGCTTCTTCTTTTTCACTGTTTATTATTTTTTTTAAAAAAAATTTCGGTAGAACTAAAAAATTCTTTTCTCCAATTGTAATTTTACTTAATCTTTTTTTACTTATTATTTATATTTTTATATAATTTGAAAGGAATTTATTAAAAAAATTACTCAATTAGCAGAGCAATATTGGATGAGAGACTCTCCCACACATGAAATAACATAAAATCTTGAGAAACCTTTACAATGCTATGAGCGACCTTTGACTCATTTAATTGATATATCTGTGCGACAGCTTAACAGTATTTTACAATCTTCCACAATGAAGCCAAATTCATAACAATGTCTCAGTCGATTTTAGTACCTTGTATACTTGTTGTGCGTCCATTTCAATAATACCCGACCCCTGAATATGAGAGACGATATAATTTAATGTATTATAGCAATCCAAGAGTTCTACCAAATGGGGAGACCTGCACCCTGGTAGTCTTCCTAACAATGCTAACATCACTTAGCCAACAGAATCTCGACTGACAGCCCCAAACCTTGCTTTTCCTTCGTTGTCAAACATGGTGGCATCCAAATTACACTTCTATATTCCCGGATGTGGTGCCATTAATTCGAAAGTAGGTTATGTTTGGCAATTTTGCATGCTGCTCCTTCTTTTGGTTTCCTGGGCAAGTTTCCATTCCGCCAAATATTTTCTTGTTATGGCAATTGTGGTATAATCTACAAACACTTTTCCCTACCATAAGAGCTTATTACACTCCGACCAAAGCCTCCAGAAGAAACATAATAATTCACCAACTTGATTCTTTGTCCTCGACCTGACTTGCTCCTCCAACCAATCTGGCATATTATTGCTCTGCAATTATTTCCTGTTTGCATTCAATAGCCTCCTAGTATTCTTTACTTTCTCGAACTTGAATAAGACATGTGGGATGGTCTCCTCCAAGTCGCATATGGGGCAGGTGTTATCAATCCCAATGCCTTTTCTTTTCAGTACTGCTTTTACTAGGATTAGATTGTGCATTAAGCGCCAAGTAAGGTGATGCAAAACCCAAAATTAATAATGGAATCCAATACCTCGCATGTACATTAGCAATCAGAAACTCAAAATCTTAAGTAAACCCTCCCTACTTGATCCACACTCAATAAAGGAATGAAAACAAAGCTAACTAGGAAAGAAATAAAGAACTAGAATTGAAAAGACGTCATGAGACTTACCTTGATGAATGATCCCAATCACTAACTCTTGCAAGCTTGAAAGTTTAAAATAAGAATATATGAATTTTATTAATAAGCTGAATATTCTAACTTGAATTACAACTTTAAATTGAATGCTTATTAATAGTGTAGATTATGCGAATAATAAGGAAAAAATAATATCTTAATTAATGGTAGAAATTACATAAGAAATTAAATCTAGACTAGAATGAAAAATTAGTAAGAACTAAGAAAATTACAACTAAAATAGCATAGATATGACTTCTCTATAAGAAATTTTTTTTGAATAGGGAATATCTTAATTAATTGTGGTTGATTTAGGGGAAGAGATTCTGCCAAAATATTTTCCTTTCTCAAGTATTTTTCTTTTTTGCGAGATTTGACATTTAATAAGCTTTCCTCTTTCTCAAGATAGCTTGCAATTTAGGAGCAATTTTCCCTCTTGGCTAATCTTTAATTTTGAAGATTTTCTATGTGATTAGGAAATAAAATTCCATGAGAATTTTTTCTTTTCATGTCTTGTAGAATTTTTTTATTTTCTTGTTTATTTCCCTCTTGCACTTGGGGGTTAATGTAATATACTATTATATCCTTGGGTTAATGGTCATGTTATCATTTTTTCTTGGGCTTCTTTAATGGGTCCAGTCCCGTCTTCCTCAATGTTCTATGCTTGGATAAAAATTTGAAAGACTTGTTGTAATCTTTTAGCTCCCCTCCCCGGTAATGGGTCCACTTGGCTTCGAAATATCCTCTCCACCAACTTGACCCATGTCCATGCTCACATCATCCTCTCCCTCGTAAAAAAGATTCATCCTCAAATACAAACTTGCATAAAAAAAGAAAAGGTCAGAAACATTAAAGGTAGTAGACACATCGTACTCACCTGGGAGATCAATTTTGTAGGCATTGTCATTGATACACTCTAGAACTTGAAAAGGTCCACCTCCTCAGGGGTTCAATTTAGATTTTCACTGATTGGAAAATCTTTCCTTTCGTATATAAACCCATACCCAATCGCCGGGTTGGAACACTACTCGCTTACTTCCTTTATCGACGTGTCGTGTATATGATTCATTCTTCTTTTAGATATGCTGGCTGGCCTTTTCGTGTATGACTTTAACAAGTTCTGCTCTCCACTAACCATCAGTATCTTGAATTTCCTACACAGGTAAAGGCGTGAGGTCCAATGAAGTTAAAGGATTAAAACTATAAATAATTTCAAAATGTGAAAACCATGTAGATGTATGAATGCTCCTATTATATGTAAATCTTACCATGGGCAAACAATCCTCCAATGTTTTCAAGTTTTGGCCAACTATAGCTCTCAACAAAGATCCTAAGGTCTTGTTAACGACCTCAGTCTCATCATCAGTCTGGGGGTGACATGCAGTAGAGAATAACAACTTAATTCTTAATTTACCCCACAGAACTCTCCAAATGTGACTAAGAAATTTCACATCCCTATCACTCACAATTATCTTAGGAATGTCATGAAGTCTCACAACATCCTTGAAAAATAAATTTGCGATATTTGTCGCATCATCAGTCTTATGGTATGCAATGAAGTGTATCATCTTACTAAATCTATCTATGATGACAAATATGCTACCACTACCTCTCCTAGTCCTAGGAAATCCTAATACAAAATTCATAGATATATCTATCTAAGGTGTTGTAGGCACAGGTAAAGGTATATATAATCCATATGGTAGAACCCTAGATTTGGTCTGCTTACATGCAATGCACTTACTACAAATGCACTCAACATCTTTCCTCATATTAGGCCAATGAAAATGCTCACTTAATATATTTAGAGTTTTAGTTACCCCAAAGTGGCCCATCAATCCTCCATTGTGAGCCTCATGCACTAGTAATTTCCTGAGTAAATAGTTGTGTATACATAACTTACCATCCCTAGGGATAAAATCATCATGCC